TTTGTGAGTCTCCAAATCTTGGATGTGCTACTTGACCAGTTGTTGAATGCCCAAGAAGCCTTTCCATGAGGTGAATCAGTGATAAGAGAATGATGAAGAACCGCTGCTCCAGTCGGGTACAGCAAACCTTGGCTTAGGTTCTCCGGGCCTTGGCAGCCTGGAGGTCAAGTTAGGCCCAAGGGAAAAGATCTTCACCTGAACCACAACTTGCTGCGGCATTATCCAGATGGCAAGATCTCCTCTCCTTTAACTCAGGACAGCCAGACTTTATCTAGAACGGAATCCCCTTCTCCATAGGACTGTGGGGATCTAAGGGCACTGCTCCCTATTGCGTTTCCAGCTGGGCCATCTACCTTTTTCACTGGCGGGGTCAGGCCCAGTGGAGCCTGATGAGGCTGCCACCGGCCCCGTGAGCGCTGCTACAGGCTCCTCTACACCTGTTTATCGCTTCATTTCCTTCCCCTCCTCCCTGCTTGAAAAGGAGCATTAATTAAACCCGTAAACAAGCCGGCTCCCATTCTAAATCAGAGTTGCAGGCAACGGAGAGATAACTTGCGCTCCGGAGAAGAGGGATTTTCAGTTAATTTATGGAATCTACCGTCATTCTCTCTCTCGGAGCAGCCACCTCCCAGCTTAACAGGGAAATTGAAGCAGACAGTCTGTCTAAACACTTCTTTTGCCTTGAATATCTTAATTTTTCTATTTGAATGTTTAATAAGGTTTGGGGTGCTGCTGCTTTTTAATTGAAATGGTGCAGGTGTTTGGGTGTTATCACTTGGCTGGTGGCTGCAGGGCGTCCGTCCTCCCCACCGTGGTGTTTTTATCACCGAAGCTTTGTAACATAACTTTATTTATTTATTTATTTATTTATTTATTTATTTATTTGTATTGGGGATTGAACTCAGGGCCTCATGCTTGCCAGGCAGGCACTATACCACTGCACTACATCCTCGGCCCTGTAATGTAACTTTAAATCTAGTATTGCGAGGCCTTGCTTTTGTTGCCCAGGATAGCTTTTGCTCTTGCTCTCTTTGTCTCTTCTGGTTCCATGTGATTTTTAGGATTCTTTTCTTTTTTTTTTTTTTT